ACAGGAGTGCTCAGTACATATGAACTGTATGTACTACAGGGTAAGTACACAATACAACTCATAACACTAACATTCAACTTTTATTTTTTTTCATTAAATTCATAAGTTTCTAAGCATTAATGCTATATAAGACTATTTACACACTGATAGAATTCCAAGAGGAAGCAAACAAGCACTCAATGGCACATTTTAACACCTATGGACGCCGGACAGACGGACAGATGTACATGTACGTAATGACAGATGGGCGGACAAAAGAGGGAAATTGGTATTCCACAGGCTCGCATTTGCTTCCCAGCTCGCCAATAAAACAGCAATGGTTCAGTCCTTCAGGAGTCTTCTTTGGCATCTTCTTCGGCTGTCGTGAGTTTTATACTATAACTTTTCCAGGCCAAACTCAGCAAAAAGCCACTGAATTTGGCTTTAACAAGCTTTAAAAAGAATGATCCTTCACACATGCATTTGAAAGACAAAAGCAGGCATCTCCATTTTATTACTGAAAATTCTTTCGGGAATATGTTCATTCAAATTTGTGGTTTTGTTCATTTGCATTGTCAAAGTGGTTTTGTTCATTTGCATTGTCAAAGTGGATTTGTTCATTCACATTGTCAGAGGGCTTAGAAAAAGGTTGATCAGGCATTCAATTTTGTCTAAAGGCAATCTGGTTTCACTTGTAGGAATTCAAATTGGTTCCAGTAATCTGCTTTTTGAATCCTATATAAAATATGACTTTCCAAGAAAAAAAACCTTACATGTACATTACATGAACAGCCACATGCCGGTTTAACCACAAAGTGTGTGTACATCTCTGCATTTAAAACTGAACATTTTAACTAGTATGAACTGGTGAAGCCACAAGTGTCTTTAATCAACGAACATATCAATTGTTTTTATTACTCAAGATATGCATGTGTAATTTGAATCATTCATACATGTGCAAATTATTTTAAGCAATCACTTACATGTACATGTATATGTACTATGATGCTTAGTGACCAACAGTTTTAGGACATTATGGAAATATACATGTGCATGTAGAATGCTTCGAAAAGCAATTTGTGAGGTTTATTACATTATCATTACCTTTAAAGATACTTTGTGTGACATTGATGTACATATATATAAGTATTTTATATTTTAACCATGGAGAATTAATGCTTTCATTATGTACAAGTAAACAAAAATCATTGATATGGTGAAAAATGGCAGCAACCAAATTGGCCTGTGTATGTAAGTGCACTTTGTACGAAGCAGAATTAGAGTCAAAAAGATCGGAACATGTTTTCTGAGAAATGTAATGCTTTTTTTAAAAATCAAATTTTTATTTTTTTAATGTCTTTTAAAACAGACAGTACTTTGAATTTTTAATCCATTTTCCAAAACCGAATGAAATCTGTCGTACCTAATATATCTTTTTTGGATGAAATTTTACAGACATAACATGTTTTTAAGATTCGAATGAAATTTTTTTGACCCAACATGTTTTTAAAATTCGAATAAAATTTTGTAGACCCGACATGTTTTTAAGATACGAATAAAATTTTTCAGACCTAACATGTTTTCCAGATTTGAATGCATTTTCCCTGACAATAAACAGCCGAAGATTTCGAGTTCCACACCCGCATTTCATCCGAATTCAGAAAGCATCCAAATTTTGAAAGCATCTGACTTTAAAAAGCATCTGAATATTGAAAAAGAATCCGAATTGAGAAAGCATCCAGTCTTTTGGACGATGTTCAGTCCGATGGTATCCGAAGTTCTGAATCTTTTTTGACGATTCGGCTGCGTTCTGTATGTGCATGCACAGTCAAACCATAGAATTATTCCCACTACCTTAAACAATCAGGCAGTCAGTACTATAAGCCCCAAATTTCGAATTAAGTTAAGCAACTACATACATACATTGATGGTATGGATGTTTTGCTGGTCTGGATGCCCGTGAGTGTGAGTCACTGCGCGCCCCAGGCACGTATGTTCATGCCCTTCACTTAGTTTGTGTGCATGCGTACTGAATCCCACTGTAACCAGAAGCCTGTAAAATGGCTCTTGACTCGGACAGGTGGACCCTAAAGTAATTGATCAACATCAAGCTCAGAAAAAGTTGTTCGCCCCTTATTTCCTTACCAATTAATATTTAAACACTCAAAGTCCCTTTTGATAACTTGCACACGATAAAAATCCTTTTTCTGCCAAATTTTTGCCCGTCTTTCTTACGTACCTCCAAAGTAACAGTCAGAAGTTGGAAGTGAAGCCAACATTTTAGAGGGAATTTTTTCAGTTTTGTCGAGTTTTCCCCGACATTTCTCTACTTGTGAATAATGAGGAATATCATGAACCCTCTAATGAGAAAGTATTATGCAAGAAGGAAATTGTATGGATGAGAACGGAAAGTTTTTGTTTATGCCTGATAATTGGGCAATTTGGTGTGATTGTATGCATTCATGCAATGCAGTAGGCCAACTCGTACCCAAACTCACTCGTATCCAGGTCTGCATAGGTACGTGCATGCACCATGCCCAAAATCCAGACATCTCATTTTTGACCGCTGCCAAACTCAGTGTGGAAATTTGAATCCGCATGAAAAATGAAATGCATTTCAGACAAATGGCTCTCCATCTTGAAAAAAATTAACTGATAGATACTTAACAATTATTAGTCTTCCAGTATCACCGGTGATCTGAGGGGAATTCGACAAAAGTGTGAAAACTGGACACAAAGCTACAGTAGGTAAAACACAATAATTTTTCATAATTATACTTTGTCGAAAAATTTGCATTTTCCACTTTCTTTGATTGTTTTCCGGCGATTTATTTGCACCAGAAGCTATTACATATCACCATTTGATAGACTCGTGGCAATTTATTCACACACGAGGTCTTCAATGGAAATGGCAAAACAATCCCCCACATGGGTCACCACAGATATATGTCATCTGCTAGAATAATTTTTTAGGCCGATGACCATTATGTCACTATTGCGCATGCGCGAATACACAAAGTACGGTCTGTTAAAAAACATTACATTAACAAAAAATTTGATATTTAAAAAAGCATTACATTTCTCGGAATACATGTTCCGATCTTTTTTACTCCAATTCTGCTTCGTAGCTTTGCTTATATTCTTCCTGAGCATGTGTCATGGCTCATAGAATTGACCGAGACTTGACACTGGTCACTGCATATTACATGTAGTATCTGCCTATAACGCATGGGATTTTCTCTACCAACAGGACAAAACATCTACAGAGCAATGTAAAGAAAAACATAAGCCTTCTCTGTGAGATGGTATACGCATTAGGCAGTCATGGCTTCATCACTCACTAAAGTTGTTTGCATCATGGCTTCACCATTTGTGCTGGGCTTTTTCTTGTGTGTTGCCAGCATCTGCAGTACATGCCAGGCTCACGTTGACTAGTAAGCTACGTGTATTTGTATAAGTTACCTAAAGTGTTCTCCCAAGATTACAATCCACCTTAATACTAACCAAATAGAATGCAACAGACTTTTAGGAATCACATAAGTAACCAAAAGTTTAATAAAGTACTTGCATAATCACCTTTATTTTAATTAATGTTTTACATGTACATCCTACTTCAACCAAAATCTGGCATTCTTGTGAGTAACATACAGTGATACCAGTATATGAGATCACTTTTCGACAGGGTTGGCCAATGTGGTTCACTTTGATTCAAATGAATTATTTAAATCAAATGATTTTTAAATCAATGATTTAAATCAACATTTTAAATTTTTGTGGGAAAAAGGTTAAATGTTTCAATTTTTTATCTTTTTCAACTGACTGGCAATTTTTCCAGGTATTGATAAGTATTTATAAATACCTCAGACAGTTTCCTTATTCAACAACGCGAAACATGACTGTGTATTAACTCTCTGACTACTAGTACATCAAGGCCCAAAAGTTTAGCTTGCAATTTGCAGGCAAGTACTTCATTAGTGACTGTACCATACAATTTTCATATCGCATAGTGCCATATCAAGAGAGGTGTTGATATAAAACAGACTGCATCATAGCCCGTGTTTACACCACAGCTTTAATTCGAATGTGGTCCCAGTTCAAAGGAGTGGCTTGCTGCCTATTATTTGCTACATTTCATGGTGTAGCTTACAGTACATGTACATGTACATGTACTATAAACCTACAGGGTACACTTACATGTACATAATGCATACACATCTCAGTCACAACATTCCTGATTTTCATACAGCCACTGTTGAGCCGCTCACAAGCCTCCTTTCAATCACTCAGCATTCAGCATTACCTTTTTTATTTGGATTTTTTGAATGGGAACTAGCGCAAGCTAATTTTATTTTATTTACATGTACATGTATGTCATCTTTAATGATGGTAAGCTCCCATCAGTGACAGCTGCTTTCCATGGAGACCCTTGGATTTCCATGAACAACGTGGGTTGAAGGATAAACCTTCTGGGCCTTGATGTGGTCAAAGAGTGGTCTTTTGTAGGTCCTGAATGTACCGGTAAGTCAAAGGGGTTGAGGGGGGTTTAGAAAAACCACATGAAATCTCCAACTTAAGTTCCTTTTTTGAAACAGTCTTTGACAACCGTGAATTAGAAAGAAATGACGAATGGCTGAATTATCAACAAAAAAAAAGTAATAAGATTGATCATGCTTTACACTATTACCATCATAATCGTGCTGTTCAACCTTTGTGAACATTTTCCTTAATGTGAATTTGGTCCTCATTCAAAATTAGTGGCGACCTCAAATTGGGCACAAATTCGCACACTTCAACAAATATTGATAATGCTGATAACTTGTTATCCTCCACTCACTACAAGATTGGAAGAAAACACTTTGCTATTTTTGGATACATTTAAGAGTTCATTGTGCACTTTAAAAAAATCAGGAAATTAGGCTAAACAAGAATTTCATTTGAACCTTGCAGCATGTGCATAAACTCAAGATTTATGAATGTTGAGAGCTTGATGAAATTTCATTTAGTGTGCAATTGGATGTACAATACCAAGGCAATAACGTTAGAGTTGAGAAATCAAAGTACATGTACACCACATTAGGGGCTGTACCCTGTTAGGGTAGGTCTACATCGACACTCCTTTTAGTTTTTTACGATTTTTTAATCTTTGACAGTCCCAGTTATTCCAAGTAACTAGGAATACTTGTACATGGTTGGAGTGCCAACCATTTCCAAATGTTAAAAGAGGTTATTCATAGTTACTCAGAATAGGTCCAAGTCAAACATCATGACAAAGGAGTAATGTCCCTGACGACCGTACAGTCGCCAGGTCGCTCATTTTGCTACTTATTGTCAAGTCAGATTGATTTTCAAAGTGTTAAAAAAGTGGCAAAATAAGGGACATTAGACCTAAGCCGTAGACCTACAGTGCCACAGTTACCTGGTCTAATTGCCAAGTACGAAAATAACAGTAGCATCTAGCAGGCCTACCCCTACTTTGAGAACTCAAAGTCACTGCTCTGTCATACTCCATGTGACTTTCAACCAACAGTTTACAAGGTGTTGTAACCTTATGGGTTTTTGGAATCAAACTTGATAGGTGAATGATTCACGGGTATAACTAAGCTATTCAATCAAAATTAAATATTTTTGGTGGCGGGGGGATTTCTAAGTCTCGCAATGCGTCGCAGCTACATGTACATAGCACAGTGCATGTCGCGCGTCGTGTCCTATGGGGGGTCATGTAATAAAAATAAGTATAGATACTAACCCCCGCCACTGAAAATGGTCAAACCTAGATGCAGAGCAAGTGCAGTCATTGGTGGGCTTGATGCATGCGCAATATAACCACAAGAGGCATGAACGGAGTGATCGTAACTGGTGGAAGCCAGAGATCGGTGAGCAAATTTCTCATTTTTTTTCAAAAATTCTCTGTCTCATGCTCTAAAGCATTGTTCACCCCCTTTTAAGAGCCGTAGATTACTCAGGTTTGCTATCAGGGGAAAATTTGATTTAATAGCTTTGTTACACCAGTGAATCATTCACCTATCAAGTTTGATTCCAAAAACCCATAGCGTTACAACATCAAGTAAACTGTATTGGCCACAAGTTACACAGAGTATGATGTAGTGACTTTGAGTTCTCGAAGTAGCCTACTCTCAGAAGTGTCGGGTTCGTAGTGCAGCCGATGTACACTGTAAAACTGAAACCCCACACTGCTGTGGGCCACAGACTCTAGGGGTAGGACTACTAAACACTAGTTTGTCTACAAGCCACAGTCACATGAAAATTTGTCCTAATAATTTCCATGTCATGGCGTCACGATGAGCTGTATTTTTCCAAGCAGCATGTAGGCCCTACATGTACGCGTACATTTCTGCATCACGCTTTGATATTGCATGCAGTTTCTTAATAAAATGCCGGACAGGCCAACAACACAAACCTCTGCCAAGAATGATCGACTTCGACAAAAAGTGAAAAGACGAGGCGAAGGTCTACCTGGTACTACCGGTTAGTCTGGTCATAGTGGTGTAGTAGTGGGGTTACTTACCTGAAAAATACAGATTAAAGTATAAAGTCAAATTCGGGCCCGTTTGTCACCATCATGATCATGTGAACAACCGTAATTAGCCAGGCCGAACAAAATACTCCGTCGCGTCCCGCACGGGCAAAGATCATGCACGTCTTATGTTGTAGAGCGCCGCTAGCGTAGACGTACTAGCGCCCTCCACTTCCCAGGCTGCATTCGTGTTGTGCGCGTGATTCCAACCATCAGCGGATTCCAACTAAAGATCGTATAGGGCCGGATTTGTGTCTGGTGGCTCCAACCGACCATAGACATAAAGCTTGCGCCGGCCAAAGTCACAATTTGTATGTATGCACTCAAATTCTGTACGAAATTGCGCATTTTTTGGCCCATGAACTTGAAGATTTGTGGAAAGCACAGGTTAAGGCGACCAAAACGAATGCCAGCTTGTGTCTGAGTGAAATTTAGGAGAAATCAGTGCCTGAAAACAGTCTATTTTTTACGGAAGTGTATAAGGGTTACTTGCAACATTTCTTTTCGAGATATCATCTCGCCGCGGCGAGTTACTATCTCGCTGATTTTCTTAATTCGGATAAAATGAGATTTCTGTAAATAGATGTCGGACCCTGTTAGAATGCCACTTGAAGATGTTGCGTCCGACTAAGTGTCATTCCCACGGAAGTGTGTTGACCACAACACACCCCTCTCCAAGAAGGCCGGACGGGAGAAACCATCTGCCTAATTAGTCATTTATATGTTTCCACTTTTCCCGTGGTTTTCCTTTTCCGACTGACCATATGTTTTCTTGGTCAATCCATCTAAGAAGTGGGCGAATAACCTTAAACTAGCTATAAAAATTGAGACCACCTCCTGGTACGTGATCTTGAGAAAGTCTTAATTGCGAAAGATGAGATCATTCCTTATCCAAGAAAACTTAGTGACTAAAGACCATTCTGCATCAATTGTTCA